CAACTTCGACGGATTCACGACCCTGATCAACCGACGGGGTTCAACGTGAGAATGACAGCAGCCAAAGCAGAAGGGATTTACGACCCCCGACGTCTAGGATGCTGCCATGCCTAGCCATCGCACCTTCCGGACGGTCTCACGGACTCACTCATGGGTGACAAGCTCCGACAGCTCACCAAAGAGCGTTTTGAATTTTGTTTTTTGTTTCAGTTCACCATGGCTTTGCTCATTATGGTTGCGTCAAAAACTTTACAGTTGCCGACGGCCGGGAAGAATGTTGGAAATCCTGTCAGCTGACAGGTCCCTCACACTAACGCACGCAAGGCTCGTCCATTCTCTCCCCACTCACACACACCTGACGCGCTCACCTCAGATGACTGGGGGTTATTAATTACAGCACCTGAGGCGCCACTTCCTGGACCGCTCTAAATTACCATACGAATTATAATGGAATAGGTCATGTGACCACAAAATTAGGACACGTGGCACCTATAAGCCCGTGTCTCGCTCTCATTCGTTTCCGGGAATTCGTTAAAGGAACTTCTCTTTGTACCGCTCAATTCTCGCGTAATCGGATTAATAAATAATCGTGTCAGCTCAGTTATTATCTATTCAAAGAATTCGGTGCGCTCTTTAGTTGAATTTACTCAGCGACTTTACCTGTGACAAGTGTAAAATAAACATTATTATTGACAATTATACGGTTTTTGTAAAACCACGTGCACGTGTTCCGTTCATTTTTTGACCCGCNCTTTTTTGTCCCGCTCACCACTCTCCGCAAGCCCACATTTTTTCATCAATACCTCCACAAATCCAGATCCCTCAAACATTATTCCTTTCCTTATTAGCCATCAATTCTTGTCTAATATACTGCACTCTTCTCCTGAGAATGCCATTACGTACGATATTTCTTCTGCGCTCCTCCTCTCAGTATTGTTCTTTCTTTCTCAACAATTCCATTCTCAGTAGATTCTTCTCGTTCTCTCTCCTTCTGTACGCTTTCTTCTTCCGAAATTTTTGCATCCTTTCTCTATTTTTTTCATTTTCTGCGCCCTTAAATGCTAAATTTTCCCGTTTACGTTTCATACATGTTCGATTCTGTTCCTTTTTTTGTCCATTGCGGCCATCCGCATTTGTTCACTCTTATCAGATAATTGACATTTCCTTATATTATTTTTTCTATATATATTTTTTTTTTCGTGATTGATTTTTGACCGCGATTTTCGTTTAGTTTTCATGATAAGTCAAATTGTCGTTGTTCTCAAAGATATTGTTGAATATTTTTCAAGTACTTTAGGTAATTCGACAGGCAGAAAAATTATTTACTCATTAAGATTTTAGAACTTTGTTGATTGTTAAAATCGCTGTTGGTTAGTTCTGGAATTGAGGTAAAAAAATCAACGAAGCTAACAGACTCTCGTTAATTGTTCAAACGAATTTTCAGACAATCAGTGTCTTTTTCGGCTCATCACTGTCGCTTCTTGCAGATATAAAAAATCCAATGAACAAATATGGATCTATTGTCGCTCTTGAAAGAATTGGTGGCTTCGTGGCAAGACAACTTAATTCTTTTGATGAAATGTCGCTCAATGTATAGTATTAAGTAGTCATTTTTAGCAATAGCACAATCAGAAAATAACAAAAAAAGCAAATACTAAGGATTCATCATGATGATATGGAAAGAAATGAGTAGTTAGACTAGGCGGGTTCTGGATATAAGTTCCAGCGCCCGCCACCAGGTGGCGCCACAGTCGCAAAAGTTTCGAGATGGATGACGTCATCGGTGAGTCATCATGATGACTCATCCGTTTGGGGGTGTGGTGGGGAGACTTCCGGAGTCCTGTTGGGACTTATATCGCTGGGGGGATTCGACTGTCACGTAGGTGGCACCACCATCGTTTTCTAGAAGGATGACGTCATCCTGAATATTCGAGAGTCAGGTGGCAGCACGGTCGGGGAATATTCTGGAAGGATGATGTCATCCTGGTATCTGGGAATGACTCATTGTTCTGCGGGGTGGGGATATCTTATAATTCCTCTTCGCTCTAAATGTTTCAAATATTTTCGAAATGTTTCAAAATGTTTT